TACAGCTGTTCCTCCAAAACTGATTGACTACTGTGAGGGCAAACTTGACAAGCCAGACTCAGGGCTTCCCACAGGGCCAAGCTGCTGAGACAGGTTACAGGGTAGAAGTGAGGGGACCAGGGGATTCCCTCTTCCTGCTGGAGAGAAGGTGGGTGACCACACAGACTCCCAGCAAACAGTCAGGGCAGGGACTCTTCAGGGTACCCACCCCCCACCAAGGATTAAGTCCAACCTAGACGTTATAGCATCAAATATCTTCACCCCAAAATGTAGCTTATATCCAGTTTTATCAGCGATAGGTCACATAAAACCTCCTACAGTCTCAGATCTGGAAACCATACTACAAGGGTAAAGTGATAAGGAAAACAGACAAATTTATCCCCCCTTTTTTTTCCTGTAGGAAAAAAATAATAAAACCTCAGTAGTTGGACTAACTTTAAAAAATATAATACGGGCAAATGTCCTCATCTGTTTGCTATCATTTCTCTTTGCGACTAATGAGAGTCCCTCTGTCTATGGGATGAAACTAAGTTCTGGGTGTCAGAGCCCATGGGACTGGGCTGGCAAATGCCTCCTCACTCCTGGGCGCTGACCTCTAACCCAGCTGACAGTCTCACCTATGCAGCTCTGAACCTGTGCACCTTTTACTTTCTTTTACTAAAATAAATTTCCTCTTTCATGATGACTTCAGAAAATGGACTCTGGACTTGGAGATTATAAAGACAAGAATCAGCTTATCTCCGTCAGGGCCATGAATCACTGCCTCTTCCCACCCATTTCCACAGACACCTGAGTTAATTTAGTCTCATCTAATTCCTCCTGCTGTTTTCAGTGGGACTTCCGCCACCAAGGCAGCATGAGTCAAAACAGATCATCCAACGGCTTAACGAATGGAGGTATTTGTTTGGAGCGGAATGTTTACAACAAAAACCACCAACCATCTTGTTTTTTCATGTTGTGACAGCCCGGAAGCTGTGCCCCAGTGACAGGGCCTCTCCATTTCTGTTTAGGACAGAGGCATCTTCTGATTTCTTGACCTGTTTGGCTTTCATCGAAAGCTTTGGAAGTTCTACCCAATGTCCAGTGTCCCAGCTCTCAATGAATTAACAAGTGTCAGCACTGAAGTTAATCTTCTTTCCTCATTTCCAGCCACAGCTCAAGGGTTTTGGTGTCTGTCTTTGGAAATGACTCAACTCACAGTTGGCGCTGGGGGTGGGGGCGGGGAACTGCACCACTGAATTAATTACGTCGCATCTTCAGGCATCGTCAGGCTTAGTCCTTTCATTTACTGAATTGGTGTCTAATTAACAGCTCAAGACAGCACTTCCTTGCAGATGAGTTTGTGTTTCATGAGGTCATAAAATTAGAGAAAAGGTCTGCCACGCTCACTGCTCACCAGTCCTTGTCCCAGGCCTGACCCTGGTGACTTTCATTTCTGACTCCTCTCTAGGACTTACTTCCCTGTCTGCAAGGGGCGACTCTCCCAGAGGGGCAGTGAGCTCCCCCTGCTGCAGAAGTCACCTTCGAAGCACATCCCGGGTCGGTTCTGTTCCCAGAACTCCACTCCCTCCCTTCATCTTCTCCACATTCTTATTTGCCAGACGCTGGTGGATCACTGAGCTGCCATCAGTATTTACCATACAGTTCTGGTTTAGGTGGTGGTCGTTTTACAAATAGATACAAATAGTCACAATGTACTTCCATGGCTTCTCTCCGCCTCTGTTTTTACCATCCCCCACCGCCTTTTTTTTCCTTTCCCTGAAGCAGGAAGAAGGTAGGGGAGAGGGGCTTACTCTTGTTCAGATCTAGAACCAGTTTCCAGCCCTGGTTCATTCTTCTCCCTGCCTAAAAACCAGAGTTCATGTTTACCAAATTCTTCACAAATACTAACTCATATAACACCCAACAACTGTGTGCTTGTCCCCAAGTCACCCCGGTGGTGAGCTGGCTCCTAATACTATGCAGTCTGCCTCTCGCCACCGATAGGCTGCCCAATCGCCTCTTGGCCAATGAAAACACACACACACACTCATACACAACCTTAAATTTGAAAATAATTCATCTGATGTCATTTGGATCCACAGATATTCACTGTCTTCAATAAACTGACATCTTTGAGTTCAGGCATTGTCTCCTGGGGCGAAGTCTGGAGTGAAAAATACAAAAATGTTGATAAATGGGGAGAAAAAAACGATGTCAGGGTCAAAGTGTAACACAGAAATGTTATGCTTACCAAAACCATGCAAGTTTTTTGATGGTAAGACCTTATCCGTTCAGAATACTGGCCTCTGATCCAATAGAAAGGGTTTTATAAAAGTTCAGGGCTAAAATTCAGTCATTGGCTGAAGGCATTGGTGGTATTGTGGTGAGCAGAGCTGCCTTCCAGCCCTTGGCTTATTAGTTGAGCCCCTCATTTAGAGTCATGTAGATTCTACTTACTCTTACTTTCTACACCATTCTAAAAGGGCCAGGGGTCTTTTTTCGAGTCCATAGAAGATGAGAGACCACACATCAAAAGGCAAAGCCAGCAGGAAACACGCTGGAGACCTGCATCCTACAGTGGGCAAAAGAGGTGGCTGATACCGGAAGAGGAGGAAGAAGCACTTTACAAAGGAGCAAATGTAAGACCATGTAGCGTAGGAGATGAGAGCTGGTCCACAGCTACCCTGACATAGAGAAGCAGAGTAACAGTGTTCATCACCACATCCCTAAGTCCCCAAGACAAGAACAGACCATGATCAGTTATAACATGATGAAGAGGTTCACAACTTTTTCAAGGAATTCCTATACATAGTGGTTAGTTTTATTGCCTGAAGGATATCAGTAATCCCAAGATAGCAAAAATGACTCACTCCCCAAGATTTCTGGTTGGCCAAGTTTTACTTTGTGTGTTTACATGCAAGTTATCCTGGAGATAAACCTCACTGTCACTCTTAAAATAGTTTCTGATGACCATAATTTTATATCATCCAGTGACAAGTTCTCAGATTATGAAACAATAATTATCCTTAACACCATGAGTCTCTAAAGCATGACTGACTATTTCAAGAGACCCTGCATTTCTGCCAGTACAGGTTTCATGAGTGATTCTGGCAAGAGCTGGAGTCAGCCTGGGACGGTGGTTATTTTGCACACATGAAAAGTCTGGTCACCACTTTGAAGGGCCTGGATTGTGTCCAAGGAGCCCTTCCTTCTTGCATAATGGTGCTTTACTTCCTGGATTACAAAAATATTTTACTAAAGAGAAAGGAACTGGATTTGTGGCATATTTTTATGCAATGATTAAACTTAATTCCCGATGTTCAAAATGAACCTGTCAGTTATGAACTGACTAAATGAAATAATATATTTCAAAATCAACAGAATATTTGTATTCCCTCTTCTAATCAACATACAGTCAAAAGCCCAACATCACTACCACCTCAATTTCTGGTTAAAGAGCATTTTAAACCTTTCTATTGTGGAAATTTCCAAGCATCTATAAAAGTAGAGACAATAGTACAATGAGCTTCTATGTACCCATCACCCAGCTTCAGCTTTTGTCAGTCAGTACATGTTAGTGGGCCTACATGAAGCTCCTTCTGTTTTAATTTTCCAGGAGGCTGGAAATATTTGGGGCTGGCCTCCAAGCAGAGCAGAGCCACAGACGTCCAACCACAAGGTGTGACTGGGAGGATGTCAAAGGTTCTTTATCCCCCAGATGACGACTGCCATCATTTGCGCCAACCATGCCTGGTGCTAACCACTGCACGCTGTCTGTAAAGTTCTGTTTTAAAATCCCCTCCTGCTGGGAAATTCCTCACCTCTTGTTAATAATTGGTTTAACAGAGTAAGTTGGTTTTTATCTATTGATTTTCTTCTAGAACAGAAGACCTGGGAGAGAAACTCTAACATCCCTGTAGCCTGGAGACAGACAAGGCCCTGAAATGGAGAAAGACAATTGAACCATGTGAGGTGAGAGAGACTCAGTGCCATCCAGGATTAGCCCTGATGGTATTTCCTTTAAGAGTTGCCTTGGGAAAAAATTAATAATTGAAACACTTTTATTACCAAGAATCAGGATTTGGGAGTAGTAGAAAGAATAGTCCTTTTATCACTTAAAAAAATAGCTTAAATCTACACCATTTAAAAATACTTTTTAGTTAAGGTAAGATGACATTCAAAAGTTTCTGGCCACCTCTATTTTGAGCAGCTTTGAAAACTGGCCTGTCACCTTAGGAAGAATCATTTGGGTGGTCCTTTTCACTTATGTACTGTGAGAAATTGTTAGTAGGACTTCGTGTGTATGTGGCTTGACAAAAGTGGTCCTCTTTGTCTGTTTTAGGACATCCTTGCAGCAGGGAGTAGACACACTGTCAGAACAGCCAAAGAGGAAAGAGACTGAGTTTTTGGCTCTTATTCTTTGAGGTTCAATGTTATAAGAACATTTTGATGGATTGGTATCGCCCTGATTGAGGTCAGCTGGTGAAAAGGATTCTAGAATTCCACCCTATGCCCACCTTACCCAGGCCATGAGAACTCAGCAGATGTGAGAAGTCTGAACTGGTGACCTTGGCTTGGGTCTGTCTTGTTTAGGAGAAAGTGGGTCTGGCAGCCATCATACGTCTTGACAGATCTGCCTCCAGCAACAAGACCAGAGCAACAGTGCTGGGACCAGGTAAGCCTCTTGGTTCTTAAAATTATCACAGGAAGGGACAGACTTACAGGCAGGAAGGAGAGACACACTCACAGGCAGGAGAGGGGCTCAAATCTTATTAATCTTAATGTTAAAAGAACTGTGATTATTTTGTAGCTTAAACCAGTAAAGCAGAGCATAAGTTCCTAGGAAACAGATTCTAGGGAAAAAGCTTCTAGGGAAGTTGACTCATGTATTAATAAATACATAGCGTGAGTTTGTAGTTGATTTTTGTTTTCTTCCTTTTCTTTTTTGGTTCTTTTTAAGTCCACTCTTCCTGGAATAAAAATGCATTGTTTTCTATTTAGGAAATAGAAGGAAAATAGGAGTTTGGGGTTTTTTTAATCCAAATATCCTGTGAGCGTGGAATCCACCTCTCCCACCAGAGCACCTGTCTCCTCTCCCCTCTGTCTCTGGGTGGGTACCCCCTAGAGTGGGCACTCACTACCAACAAACAGTACAGAAAGAGTGAGGGGACAGCAGGATGGGCAGTTTTGATGGCAGACAATAAGCTTAGGGGAACAGGGACAGCAAGACCCAATCTCCAGGCAGGTCAAGGGGCAAGACTGGGCCGGGGAACCAGAGAACCAGAGGTGGGGATTGAGGGAAAGGTCGGGGCAGTCGCTTTCAACCGTAGTTCAGTTCGGAAATGTGGGTGAGTTTGCATGAGTCCCCAGGGGCACGCAGGCAGAGTGCAGATTTCCGGGTCTCACCTCACACCTGGTTTGGAAGATTCAGGGTCAGGCACAGGAATCCCCAGATGATTCTGGCCCAAAAGTAGCCTGGGGGCCTCTCTTTAAAAAACTTGCAGCCTGGCCCGGTGAGTCTGCAGGAAGAAGAAAACGCACGTTGGGATTTCGTAAGCTCATGCTCACTGTAACTCAGGAACCGCCTCTCAGCAGCGAGCAAGAAACTCACTCGTTCTGGTTGCACAGAAACTCCTCGTGGACTTGGATGATGTAATACGGTGATGACGACGGTGTCACACTGGTTCCGGCTCCAAAGGCTCCTGGCTGACGGCCTGAGGGCGGGACACAGTAACTTTGATGGGCTTTACCCATCAGACTCCCCCGGTGATGCACTCACTTCCCGGACTCCTTCGCGGGGTTGCCGGGCGGGGCGGGGGTTGGGGGGAGCAGGATGGGATGTCTGCGCCATACAAAGCGGAGGAGCCATCACCCTCCCTTGTGCAGGGAGGGTCTTGCTGGAAAGTCTAAAATATTTTTTTAATGTGTTCCTCAAAGTGCTCTACTGAGAACAGTCATCTCTACAGTTTGGGTAGAATTCACAGGAAGGGTCCTACCATTGATGCTTTGCACAAAGACTGGCAGGAGTCCCAGACTCTCTCCTGATGCTCTGCCAGGCACTTCTGAATCGGAAAACCACTGACCCCGTGGTTTGGAAGAGCCCGCCCACTTCTGATGGTTTACCACCAATAACCTTTGCCTAGAATTCCCTGAGCACCCACCCTGTGCTCAGCCACGTGAGGGGTCCCCCTGGGGAGGTAAGGTGACTGTCCTTCAGGAGCATGGAGATGGAGAACAGAGGCTTATGGAGAGCTGAGATATGCTTCTCCAGCCCATGAACTTCACCTTCACAGTTTTCAGGAAAATCATGATTTGTGTAATTATTTCCTCACTAGCAGAAGACTCTGGAGAGGAGGAATAGAGTATCTATATCTCCAAAGCTTAGTAGAGTGCAAGGCACATCTTAAACTTCAATCCATGGCTGAGGAATGAATGAATGACCTACCAGCTGGCTGAACCATGTGTGGAGTGCTGGAAGGAAAATAGAGGCAGAATTAGGGGCCAGAGGTGGGGACTGACCCCCAGACAACAGAAGCTCACTGAACATTTCTGAGCAAGGGGTCACATGGAGCCTTCCACCTTTCAGGAAGATTAATGTGCAGTGAGGCTGATGGATAGGAGATGGGAGGGTCTGTGGGAGGCTACCCCAGGAGGAAAGCTTCACCCTGGACCTCCCCACCTCCTCCCCAGAAACTGTCACAGATTTTTGAGTCCCATGGGTGGGGTTTTGTCCACATCTGCATTAGAAGGGATAACACCACTGCAGCTGCTTTTGATACACCAAAGCAATGGGGTTGCATGGACGCATCTATAGTGATTCTGATACCCATACGTGGACCTGTGCACGTGCACCTGGAGTTAAGGCAGTTGGCCAGGCAGCACATCCCTTCCCTGTGAACCCTGTCAGGACTTCAAGGTGTCCTTTAGTTCCTAGAAGAGCTCATTTTCCAAACACACACTCCACTCGGTGCCCTGAGTTAATGGGTGCACATCTCACTCTCATGGAATAATTTACTCACTGCAGTTCAACAAACGATTATTATGGCTATTATTAATATTGGGTCTAATAATAGTCCCAGTGATAAACATATTTCTTGGGGAACACCACATTGGTAGCAGTTAAAACATAAAAGAACACAGTCCCCAGGGACCTATAATACAAGATGATCAGGCAGTTGGGAAGGTTTTTTTGGCTTTTGTTTTTTTAACTCTTCCCCTTAATCTCATTTTCATTGTGTGGGTGGAAATCATCCCTTGAGGGATCAGCCTTAAGGCCATGTTCTGGACTTATTTCAAAAAAAGGCTAAGGGGTGTCATGGTCCCAGAAGCCCTGAAGTATGCCTCCCCCCCAGACCAGTCTTGTCCAGTAGAAATACAATGTGAGCCACATGTGCAATTTTAAATTGTCTAGTGGTCACCTTAGAAAAGGTAAAAAGAAACAGGCTAAGGAATTTGAGAATTTTCTTTAACCTGATACAGCCAAAATATCATTTCAACATCTAATCAATATAAAAATTGTTAATGAGATGTTTGAGATGCTTTTGCTGTTGTCGCTCGAAGTCTCAGAAGTCCAGCATCTATTTCATCCTTACAGCACGTTTCTCTTCGAACTGGCCACAGGGCCAGGGTACCCACTGGCTGCTGTAGTGGACAGCACAAAGCGAGCCCCTCTGGGAAGATGCTTCTGTGTCACCCGGCTGGGGGCACTGCGGGCCAGCTGCATAAGGAGGCCCCTCTTGGGCACTAGCCCCGGGAATTGAGCAAAGTAAGGGGAAATATCCAGTGCTTGCCCCTCCCAGCACCAGCTGAGCAGAATGGATGTTCTTCCAGTAGAGAAGGTTCAGCAAGGAAAGAAATGTGGTAAAGATGGGGGAGAGCCTCTATTGGTTCTGAGATTCTGAGATTTTGTGCATCCAAGTCATGCTACTAGGACTCCGGGCAGTCAGGAAAGAGGAGGACAGGCCCAGGCAGAACCAAGAGAGGAAGAGGAAACCAGGCTGGTGAGAGGGGATTTGCTGCACCCGAATCTGGCAGGGTGGGGGGTTGGGGGGAGGGAGGGGATGGGGGATTACCGACTTCAGGGCTTCCTTAGAGATGATCCTGTCTACCTGGGGCTGGAGAGCTTGCCAAGGAAGGAAGGAGCCACCAACTGCACCAGAGAGACTCATCTGAGGGATGAAAGGAATGTCACCCAACCACCCAAGGGGAAGAGGGACTCGGGAGACTTTCTTTACCTCAAAGACGCTGCTGAGGCCAGACAGCCAGTGGCCAGAGCTCCCTGGCTCCTGGAGACCTTGGGGGGATGGGGGTGTCCAGTCTCCCCTCCAGCTTTCATAAATAGGATTGGAAATAACACATGGTAAAAGAATCCAAAGTGTGTCAGATGATTCTAAGTGATTAAATATGACGGAGAGGTGTGTAACAGGCAGTGGCTGCTTGGTTCCCCCATTGTCTGTATCAGGGGAATGAATCAACCCCCAGATTGAGTAATGCAGGGTAGGGCTGCCTCACTCAGGCTGCTGCTTCCTAAAGAGCACTGGGGTCTTTCCCAAGTCTCTCAGGTTCAGCCAGGCGCTCTCGTCCCAGGTACAGGTGCTGCTTCACGCCCCGCAGCAGGATTGGCCTTCTGCTGCTCGGGAGGAATCTTCCTGTCAAAGGCCACAAGTGTGCCATGATGCTATAGAATAAGGCCTTTTAAAATGAAAGTAGAATTCCAGGGTCATGGGACATTGACCACTGACCATGGAGACAGAGATACTTCGGGTCGAATGTCAGCCTATGAACTCTGAAGATGACAAACGATGTGGGCCTGGCTGGGCATGACTCACCGGGCTCTTCCAGTGCCGGGGGCGGGGGGAGGGGAGGGGAATGAGCAGATCTGGACGGCTGGTACACTTAGGTAGCTGTTCGTTTTCAGACCAATTTCTAAAGAAATGATACATTTTTAGGCTTTGGGGTTGGAAAACAACCAAGCAACTGAATTCTTGACAGCCCAAAGGAGACTCTGCAGTCTTACGGTGCTGCGGGGTCCCACGCAGAGGCCCACCCGGACTGCACTAGCAGTGGACCTCTTCCAGGCCAGCTTGCTTGGAAGCCACACATCTGGTAAGCGAACAGGAGGGAAATGTGTTCCTCCTGGGTTGGCCCCACAGAGGAAATGGCCCACTCCTGGAGTTCAAAGCTCCCTGGCTGCTCAGAAGTGGGGACCATGTGTATCGGCCTGCCCTGATTCGGAAAGCCCACCCGCTGAGGACAGGCAGTGCCTAGGCAGTGGTGGAGAACGAGGTCTGAGGCTGGCAATGAAGGAGCAGGGCAGAGGGAGGTTTGCTCCACGGAGCCTGGCCGATGGACAACTGCTTTTTATGACATGGCATGCATTATGTCGATGGTTTCATTTCTGGTTATTACCTTCTATTAAAAAGCATCTTGAGTAAGATGATTAGAGGGGCATCTTATTCCCGCCTCAGGAATCTACTCTCAAATTTTCAGTGAACTGTTGTTTTTCCTGGACATAATATTACGATCGTTCTTGTTATGGTTGTGATTACGTAAACTGCTAATTGTCCAGTGGCTCTTGTTATTAGCCGTTGCTCACAACCCCCTTGCTTTGAGGTAAACAGATGTAGAGTGATGCCCAAGCAGGGCACAGAGAGGTCAAGCACCCCAGAAAGTTCTCTCCTGGCGTGGGCCATCTCTAGACTAGAGTGCTAGCACCTTGCCAGGGGCCAGGGGTGCCAGAGGCATTCCTCCCCTCTCCTCCCCAACGTCCTTGCCAGGACCGGTCTTGGGAACTGTGGACAAATGAAGAACAACATGTCCAGGGTGTTGTCTGCTCCTCCTGTTTCCAGATCCAGCCCTGGTCCCATGCCCTGCGCCACACTGGTGCTGGAGTTTTGCCATGGGTCCCTGGTGCTTTTGGTTTGAGTGACCTGCCTACTGGCAGGTAGAATGGCCTAGATTGGCTGCATCCCAAAATGAAGAGTCAGAGCTTGGAACCACAAATATGCCTGCATCCTGAAATGGAAGTAAAACACTGTGGGCCATTGTCACCTGGCTCTCCACCAGCACCTCACTCAACAGGTCTAAATCAGATGTGTTAGCTTACCCCTAAGCCAAAACTTAGCATCTACTGAATTCTATCAATGGCATCTCTCGGTTACCCAGGAGAAAAACACCTTAGAATTATTTTTTTAATTATAAAAGTATACACCTATTGCAAAAAAAAAATCAGTCCTCTGGAAAAAAATCATAGGAGTGGCTTCAAATGACTGGCTGGAATGGCCCCGCAGATGGCACCGGCCTTCCCATTTGGACCTGTGCTCATCCCAAGGGAATGAAAAGCAAGAGTCTTCCAGGCCAAGCAGAATCAGAGACTCGGATCTACAGGCACTCTGAACCAGCTTTGAGGAATGGTATGTGTTAGAACCCTAAGGAAACAGTGCCCTGATTCACTCCTGTCATCTCAAAGAGATAGCCTTTTAGTAAAGAAAAACAAATGTAAGCACATAATAACAGCTGCTGTTCGTTGAATGCTTATTAAAAACTAATATTATTGCAGGTAACTCTTAAAACCATCCCAGGAGGGAAAGCATGACTAGCCCCAATGAACAGATGAAAAAACTGAGGCTCACAGAGATCAAGCCGCTGACCCAACTGTGGCAGGAGGCAGGGCTGGGACTGGAGCTCGGCTCAGAAGGACTCAAAAGGCCACATTCCTAACCACTGCTCAGAGGGGTCATGACTTGCTTGGCCTGATTCTCCCCCAAGTCCCTTAACCACGAGGAGCCCCAGTGTGTTTGAGGTGTGATGCATTTTGCCACCGTCTGCTCTGATGACTTCTCAGAAGCCCATCAGCCACGGTGGAGAGTTGTGTGACGCTGCACTCCAGGGTGATGAACTGTAACTCCCTAGCTCTTCTCATATCATGCTGTGGTGGCAAATTCTAGGAGTTTCTAAAAATAGGTGGCAAATTCTAGGAGTTTCTAAAAATAGCGTTGGGATTTCTGCTTTGCTAGAGAAGGGATTGTTCTGACCTTTTGCCTAACAAGGCCCACCTCCTGAGGGTGACAATTTCACTGCTTCGCATGACATTTGGTTTCCCTCACATGTGGCCGCTCCGATTATACTTACAGGAAATCAGAGAGAACCTCTAACCTCCTCCTGCTCTATTTTTTGCTTTTCATTCTCTTTCTCTTCCACTCCTCACCCCGCCTTTGGTTTCTTGAGTCTTTGAGACTCTTCTTGAAACCCCTCCCCCTGCTCACAGCCACACTGAGTGTGTCTTGGGGAGTGAAAGGTAGCCAGGTGACAAGGGCCTGACTTCCACTCTGAGCCAGGCGTCACTGTCTCTGCCTTTCCCCCACTTCAGAGGTAGGATGGCCCCAGGATCCAGTCCCAGCCTCTCAAGGGAGGTGCTGCCTGAAGAAAATCCTTTAATAGCTTCCATGTCCAAATCTAGACAACGAGGTCATCACACTTGCCTACTGAGTGCAGGTGCTGGGAGGCTTCATTACTGTCCGCAGGTGCTTTGAGATCTTTGGATGAAAGCCTTTCTGCAGGTAAGCCTTACCATCAGCTTGTTTTGGAGCTTCCCTGCTAGTCTCGCTCCACCAAGGTCACTCTCCAGGGGAGAGGAATGTCATCACGTTAATGAAGTACACGTGAAACAGGACCAATACTCAGGGCAGAGGCCAAAATTCTTAACACAGGTTATGCCAAGCTGCGTTTCCTGCCGAGAGAAGGTACATGTAAATATTGTTGGGTGGAAGTGCCAGTGGAGGATCGGCCACGTCGAGTGAAACACAACGCAGCAGCCTGCACAAAACCTTTTAAAGGGGTGGGTAGCATTTCAGAAATCATTTTTTTCCCCCAGCCTCAATGGCTTGATGTTTGTAAAGTCTAACCAGTTAAAGTGGTGTCCAAAGGTGGATTTTGATGGAAGTGGAAATGGGGTTGGGGTGTTCAAGACATGGGCAACTAAAGCCATTCGGCAGCAGTGGGCAACTAAAGCCATTCGGCAGCAGTGTCTCTACCTGCAGAGCGAGCCCAGCTTCCTGTGTCCTGAGCTCCACACAGACACTGTCCGGATCCTGCTCTTCAGCAGCCAAGCTCCTCTGTGTGCTGCTTTCTTTCAACAAGAGCCCAGTCCTGGTAAGAAATCCCCCATCAGATGACTCAGCCAGCCCCCTTGGCCTTCCTGACATCTCTTGGGCAATTCTTTCAGGATGATAAGACATCCCCAAATATTTTCTACTTTCATTGAACCCTCAGCCTGCGTGAGAGGGCTGCTCTGATTAGAGAGGTGTTGATGGGGTTATGGTCTCTAAATACCAAAGAGTGAAAAGCCCTGGGCTTTAGAGACAGGACAATACAGTTCAAATCCCAGTTCTACCACAAACTAGCTGTGTGTCCTTGGACCGGCCTCTTAACCTCTCTATGCCTTAGTTTCCGCAATTGCAAAATTGAGCTCCTTGGCTGATGTGAAGGTTAAATAAGAGACCATATGGAACGTGCTGGACACACTGGAGGTGTTCCATTCATGTTAGCTCTCCTGAAAAAAGGAAGAGAGGGATGGTTGTGCAGAGTGGTAATTCTAACTTTGAGAAGCTAATTTTCTTTTGTATCATTTGGCTATGTAAATTATGCTAGAGCTTGTTCCAGAAAACCACAAGGTGCAGGGTTGATTTTTTCTGGGACATGCTTGACTTACTTCCCACTTGACCAGTGGTTCTGATGCCTCTTCCTGGGTCAGCCTCACCACTGCAGTTTCTCTTCTGGATGCTGTCTCGCCTCTGCTTTTCTCAGATGCTCCCGAATTCTTCCAGATAGAGCATCTGCTCAAAAGCACATGAAGAAGTGGGGTGGGTATAGCTTAGTGGTATAGCACGTGCTTAGCATGCAATCCCCAGTACCTCCAATTTTAAAAAAAAAATAAAGGGAAAAAAAAGCATATGAAGGAAATTGAATCTGCTGTTGGTGCCCATCCCAGGGACTGCCATGACCCCATTCCAGGGGCTGCTCTGAACTGAGAAGGGGCAGGAGAGGGCAGACCCTGAGACTTTGCCCAGCTTCTCTGCTTTCCAGCTCCCCTCCAGGCTGGGCTGCATTCTTGATGCACGTTTGACCTTCGATGTATTCTGAAGCTGCAATTTTTAAAAACGTAGCTACATAATAAACTCACTACTTAAAGAAATCCCACAGCACCTCAGGCCACAGCGCTAGGCCACAGATCTTGGTCAGAAGCGTGTACAGCATGGGGTGTTAGTGAGATCTCAGAGTCACTGAAGGGCCCTACAATGGTTTCTGAGGCTTTTGTCACAGCAGCAATGGCCCCTTCAGGAAAGGCTGTGCACCTCCTGCTCCCCCCAGCTGTAGGTTCAGATCAACCGCCCCCACCCCCACCCCCAGGCCACACAGCCCCAGATCTGTTGAGATACCTCCTTTGGGGAACCAAGATGAGAGAGGACAGCCAGTGCTGTGGTTTGAAGGTTTGTTTGCCCCCAAATTCATACATTGAAATCCTAATGCCCAAGGTGAAGTGCTAGCTAGATAGGTGTTCAGAGATGCTTAGGTCATGAGGGTGGGGCCCTCATGAAGGGGATTAGCACTCTCAAGACAGAGCCCCCACACAGCCCCCAGCCCCTTCCGCCATATGAGGACACAAAGGGAAATCTGCGAACTGGAAAAGGGCCCTCACCTGACCGTTCGGGCACCCTGACCTTGGACTGCTAGCCCGCAGAACCTGAGCCACACGTTTCTGGTGTTTGTCAGCCACCCAGACTGCGGGGTTTTGTTGTCACCTCTTGAAGGGCTAAGATAACCATCAATGTCTGAACACTTTAAGCCTCTGTGGAATGAATATCTACCGATCAGGAAGAGTTCTGTGCTCAGGGAGGAGACAATACAGAGTCGCACACACACTTGCATTCACAACCAACAACTATTTGTTTTTGGATTCCTTCTAGCATTTCAGAAAAATTTGGAAAGTACAGAAAAACACAAAGAATATGAAACTACCTGAAGCCTCACCACTCCAAAGTAGAGATGGGGGTGAGGAACTAGAAATGGCTACTGATCCTGGTGGAGAGCGGGCAGGCCAGCTTCAGCCTCACTCTCATCTGGCTCTGTCGCCCCTGCACCAGTAGTTTGCCTTCTTGGGACCTCAGTTTCCTCGTCTGGGAAGGGTGGGCATTACATGGGTGGATTCTGGGGCCTCTGGGCCAGAGTTCTTTGGGACATCAGATCCTGGGATCACAAGCCTTAGGCAGGACGGTGGCCGGGGCTTCGGATGGAGGAGCATGGAGACCAGGTGCTCCTGAGAGCGTCTGCCTCGGGTGAGCACATCGCAAGGCTCTTCCACATCTCCCTGCACATCCCGCCAGGTGTTTGGAGTCCGCTGCCATCGCCTCCTGTGTCGCAGGGCACCACTTAGTCTGGTGCTCAGGAGAGCTGGGGCACACCCCGGCCCTGTCACCAGGTTCTAGATGCCCTGGGGCCTTATGCGAGGCCTCCCGCTTCCCACCTGTAAAATGGGGAAATGACGCCTGCCTCCCCCAGCGCACAGAGCTACTCTGTCAAGTGAGCACCTGTACATGGGAGCATCTGGGAAAGAATGCAGCCCTCAAAATACAGAAAAGAGGTCACGATCACGTGTCCAAGTGAGCCCATCCACCAAGGGGAAAGTGGGGCTTCACTCCCTCCTGGGCTCCCATGGAGATGTTCTAATCGCCGTAGTCAAGAAGTCAAGTAAACAGCAGCAAACTTACCAAACAGGTGAGTGGGAAACCGAGAGGCAGTTTCAGAGCCTGGCTTTCGGTAAATGTTAGCATTACAGCCACACAGCAGGCAGTGCTTCGAGAGCAGGTGGGAGACGGGGAGAGGTTTCCTGGCCCCTGCCCTCCACCTTGGTCACTGAGTCAGTGTGAAACAGCGCCTGCAGGGAGGAGGAGGGTTCTCATCCTCGTTCACAGATCAGCCTGCGGCCACAGAGGGGGCAGTGAGCTGAGCTCAAGGCAAAGGATGACTAAACAGCCTCCTCATCATTAGTAACAATAATACTTGGCATTTATCTAGTGCTTTATGTTTGCAATGTGCTTTATCATCGTTAATCAGTTAACTAGCACTCACCAATCCCCTCGCCATCTGCCTGCTGTGCTGAACAGACAAAAGAGCCAGGCGGGACCCGCCTGTTTGCCAGGGGATTGCAGAGCTGGGGAAAGTGAGGGCCGGGCATGTGGGGTGAAAAGTGTGAGTGTGCAGGGGGTGGTATCAACATCAAGGTTTGAGTTTGGAAGGCGACAGTTAAAATCAGTGCAAATCAGTATGGGTCTATTCCTTGACAAGGAAGTCAAGTACCAGGCAGGGACATGGTCTGCACTGGGACAACAAGATTCAGTCCTGGGTGGGTAAGCACGATGCCTCACGGGGGAGCTGAGGATCCCCCTAAAATTAGATTGTTCCAGACCCTGCTAAGTGAGATAATACAGGAAATACTTTGCACCTATGCCCTGGATGCTCTGCTTCAAACCTTCTGCAGAACAGAGACTCCCCTGCTCCTCAAAACACTCATGGATTTGGACATCATTTCCTAAACCCCAGGGTTCTGTGCTTGGCCAAGATCCAAACCTGCTGGAACTGTTTCTCCCAACTTGCACTGCATACAAGGAGATTAACCTCCCTGCGAAGGGTTAAAGACAGGTGTCTCCCGGACACTCAGCTCTGATTCTGATGCAGATGGAGATGGAGATGGTGGCAGGTGAGGAGAGGTGAGCTTTCTCTCTCTCACCGGTCCCCTGACTTTATGTGGGGGCGAGAAAAAGCACCATGAGGCCTTTTAGATGAGGTGAAGGGGCAGAACCCACAAACATAATCAGTGAAGCTGGACGTACCAACTGTCAACTATATGCTTACATGGAAATCAGATAACTGTTGCACTGAGAGAGTAGAAACCAAAGTCATAAGCTAAATAAGTGACCAGAAGAAAGCGATTAGTCATGTTTCTTCATGAGTGATCACAATACTTCTGAAGCTTCTCCACCTGTAACTTGCAATTTAGGGCCTTGTCTAATGACAGGGTGAGAGTCTTTTATTGATCTCCAGACTTCTTAGTAAATTAAATGGCAGGTACACAAAGAGGCAAGGGACAGGAGTGTGGCAGCAGCCTCACAGCCCTGGCTCTGTTAGAACGAGGTCCTAATAAAGCCTGTGGGTCTCTGGGCTGCCCTGGAACCCCAGAACTGAAGCCTGTGGCTGCCAGAGCCTCCTGGGGCCAGCCCCTTGTGGTGAGATATGCATGATTTGCTGATCAGCCTTGCCTGGGGCTGTACGTTGTCAGATCTCAGGAACTACAAGTAAGGCAAGGGCTTGGCTTCAACTTGGCTGGAAGACCCAGAAATGATAATAATAATTAACACAGTTCAACTTCCACTTGCATGATAAACAATAATTAATGCACACGGCAGCTCGGTGAGGCATTTAAGTTGGGATTATGAGCCTTATTTTGCAGACAGGGAAACTGAGGCCAGGAGGTTAAGTGGCGTTTCCAAGGCCACACGAGGACTCAGTAACATAACTGAAATTAAAATTTGGGTTTCCCTGTCTCCTAGTCTGAGGCCTGGATCATATCTGTCTGTCAACAAAAACCTAAGAACATTGAACTTACACCAAAAAAGGTATTTCCCCAGAAGTTCAGGGAAAAAACAATAGAGGAAGTGTGGCCCTGGCCTTGCGGTCACCTGTTGTAGGTGGACAGCAGCTAAACCAGGTGAGAACTTATAGTGTCATGTCCACTCTACTAGGAAAGGCTGTGTTCCCAACAATTGCAATTTAATGTCACACATTCAGTCTGTTACACTTCCTTTCTTTGCCTTCTTCATTTTTGTAGTTCAAACTAAGGAGTTGATAGGGATAGTTAAATACTTTAACTTGTTACAAACTAAAGAACTGAAGATATCTTTCCAATAATTTAGATACAAGATGGGAATCGTGTTTACCTTGCCCAGTTCTTGCTTGAGTATTATAAAACTTGCATGAACTTAAAAACTCCAAAAACAGCGCTTATACAATCATTCAAAACAGCCTCATTTGATCTATCCCATGCATACATTCATATATCTAATAATTGATCAATTCAACATAGAATAAACAAAATACAAATACCAAGCCAATTGTTTTCTCCCAGAAGATAATTTTTAAGTGCAGCTGTCAAAAGGCTAACCTTATTCTGGCCTCTGAGTTGTCAGTGATAGAAACTCCATTCAAATTGGCTCCAAGGATGGTGTCAGGTACAATGGACTCCTGTGAGCAAACGGTGTCACTGGCACCTGAGTCTCTTCATCTCCCAGCCTGACACAGGGCTCCTGTATGGGGCAAGGATGGCCACTTGAATTCAGGCAGACTTCCTCCAGTGGAGCTGCCCTGCAGGTGGAGAGCCTTTCTTTACTGATAACATGGGCAGAAAGTCCTGGGATTGACTACAGCTGGTCCATTGGACCTCTTGACCCCTCACTGGGTCAAGTATGGGGAAAGAGTGGTTCCCTAAAAGAAAACTGGGGTGCTGTTTGCAAAAGAAGAGGGAATAGATGTAAGGCAGGTAAAAGCAACAGATCTCTACTACCTCATGTGGAGAAATTTAAAAGTCTACATTTTAATCATATCCACTCACAGAATATTCTTCTAAATTCTATTTCCAGTCCCACTCATGAAACCCTAGCTGGGCCCTCCAATACTATTGCTAAGGGACAACACCAGCTAGAGGAACTTAAAAGCAAATGTGATTCTCCTACTAGTTCAAGTGTCTGCACATATCCTGTTTATTCAGGATGCTCAGGGTCATGGACCTCAGGACCACCCTCTCGAGCTGAGAGGGAGCCAGGCCGACAAGAAGGCAGACAGCATGCCAGGCCAACGAGCACCCCACTGCCAAAGAGATCCGGCAAGTGCCACAGGCCTGGTGCATAACATCAGACAAAATGCTTTCCAATGGACTTCTGCATCATTTGGATTTTCAGGAGTGTATATTACTTTTTTAATTAAAAAGAAACCCCTCCAGGGGAGAGAGTGTAGGTCAAGTGGTAGAGTACATGCATGCATGAGGCCCTGGGTTCAATCCCCAGTACCTCCATTTAAAAAATAAATAAATAAACCTAATTACCTTCAAATCCCCCTTGGAAAAAACTAAAAAAAAAAAAAAAAAAAGAAAAAAAAGAAAAAAGAAACCCTTACCACCCCTGTTCAATCTGCAGAAAATAAAGATGAAGACGAGTGTATAGGATGAGAACAGCTAGAGTGTATAGGCTGCTGGGCTGGTTGAACACTCCAGGTGTGAGTCCACACCCAAAGCATGTTACTTACATGCTAATATTAAATGGTGAATTGACAGTGTCTGAGAGACGTCCTCTTGTGGCCAGGCTCGTGTAACCTGGACATCCCATGTCCTCCAGCCTCTCCAAATCCATCCTGGTTGTTACTCATTGTCTCTCACTCCTGCTCCTCCTGTTTTCCCCAAGGTCCCTTGTGTTTCTCCAAAGCACAGTGAAAACAGCAACATTTTAACAGCATCTACTGAGGACTCTGGCATAACACGAGGGAATTACAGAGCTAAAAATGATGCTTCGGGTAGGTCTCAGCTGCTGCACATGCCACTGGCCTTTCTCATCACCACTACCTCTTCCTAGCTACCTCTCAGTAAAACACTGGTTCATCACATGCGACCAGGAGAGATGACCTCTTCTGGATTGTTGTCCCCATGACATCTAGCCTTATACCTGATGACTTAAAAAAAGAAAGAAAATCCTCATCAAAATAGTTCTTTCTAGAACAAAAGGACAAATTAACCATAAGAGCTAATTTCCTACTTTCCTGAAATGCAAAAATCACCCACAAATCCACAATGGAATGTTCTTGATTTCAACTAAGTCAGGGTCCAGACTCAACCTTCAGTAACAGGAAAAAAAGTGCTGGCAAGTTTGAAAATAGAAGTTGGGGGCCCTGACATATCAGGATGAAGACCAAGAAAGCATGTCTGTCAAGTCTGTAGTTAGCCAAGCATGGAAAGACAACCTCTGTCCTGGATAACAGAATAAGGATCTTGACAGATCATCATGAACCAAGACAAAGAGGACACACTGTGTCTCCATGGTGAAGTAGAGATTGGGAGAGACTGGCTTAACTTCAGCTTAGGAGAAGAACAAAGAACCATGGGGTGTAACTGGTCACAGGGTTAGTATCTGCCAACCACATGATCTATTACTAAGAAGTGACACTAGTTGAAGGCTGATGTTGCCGTCATAGAGGGAGCAGATGTGGTCAGATCAGACCACATCTGGGGGCACTGGTCCTTGTCTGGAGGAGCGTGCTCAGCAGATGACGGATGTATAAATCCTGTCACACAAGATCTCAAGGGGCTTAACCTGGAGCAGAGAACTCGGGTTGAGGGGAGAGGATGCCACATGGGAGTTGTCTTCAAATGTTTAAAGGACTTAAAACTTGCTCTGTGTTGGTCCAGTTGAGTGGAATTAGGAGCAGCAGATGAAAGTTACAGGGATGCAGGCTGTCACTCCAGGGCTCAATATCAAGAACATACTTATCCTTAGAGGGGCTGTTTGGGTCCCACTCCTGGAGGTAGACACCAGGTGACCCCACCTGGAGGTCACCTTAGTGGGATTCCTGCCTGCATGCTTGGTGGCAGGGGTAACCTTGAAGTCTCCTCCTACCCTGGAAGAAGAAGCCCTAGAGAAAGAAAGATAAGGTGAGTCCCAGGCCCTCCCAGGTTACACACAGGAGACATAGTGCTAGGGCAGGGGCTCTGAAACTTAAAAATTTGTTTTCATATCCAAAAAAAAGAAGTTTTAGGGTCCACAAAAATCAGTTAAATTCTGTCTAAAAGAGGAAAAACTGTTGAAGTATTTAAAGTTATATTCTAAATATTTTTATATTGATATTATTAAGGTGGGAGGGGCCCCCAAAGGCACCAGTGTCCGGGAACTTCGGAGGTCACGATGTGGCCTTGGCCCCTGTGTACAGCCCTGGCTCCCTCCAGAGGCCCCTCCAGCTGAACATTGTTACTTACAGTCCAACTCCTACCTGTCATGACACTTTTCCTCCCACCATTCTGTGGATCTGGGGATGATCTTTGCCTGTTTAAATAAAGAAGGACATTCTCCGTGTCAGAGGCAACCACTTGATCTCAGCAAACTGAAATAGAAGATGGATCTGACCACATACATCTTTCCTTCTCCTTCTCTTCCTCTGAAACACTGAACAACCAGCCACCAAAGGCAGCAGCGTCCCCTGGTTGGGAGCACAGAACTGCTGCTGCCCATCGCGCTTCTGATGTAGGCGCCACTGTCCTGACATCTCGGGCCTCCCGCCCACCTACCAGCCCACCTCTAAGGTCCAGGTAAGAGGAAACTGAGGCTTAGCCATGGACCCATGGACTTGTTTCCCCCAAAGAGAATCCCATGATGTCACACTCCCTGAGGCACACGTGTATTCTCATTTTGTGGCACTGAAAATACTGCTGGAAATGATGATCCCAGACCGCAGGACTGGATTGGAAATAAAGTGATGTCTAGATACTCTGCGGGGACCTAACAAGCATCATTTAGGGAAGAATCTTGGAAGGAAGAAAGGATGTGGTGCCCCCCAACACTGTTTTTCTCCATCCAGATGTATGTCGTTCCCAGTGCTCTGTCATTGTAGTGTTTTAAAATACACACAACATAATATGTATCATCTTAACCATTTGTAAGTGTACAATTTAGTGATATTAAAAATATTCAGTGTTGTGTAACCGTCTACACCCAAACTTTCACATCATCCCCAACAAAAACTCTGTACCATTGAATAATAACTCCCTCTTCCCCCTCCTCCCAGCCCTTGGTAACCACCATTCCACTTTCTGTCTCCAGGTATCTTGTATAAGTGGCATCATACAATACTTACACTTCTGTGACTGACTTATTTCACTGAGCATAATGTTTTCAGGGTTCATCCACATGTAGCATGTGTCAGAATGTCATTCCTTTTCATGGTTGAATAGCATTCCATTACACAGATGGGCCATATTTTGTTTATTCAGTCGTCTGTTGATGGACACTTGGGTTGTTTCCACCTTTTGGTTACCATGTGCAATGCTGCTGTGAACACTGGTATGCAAGTATCTGCAGGGAACTGCTTTCAATTCTGTTGGACACTTGCTAGGAGTGGAATAGCTGGACCATATGGTAGTTCTATGTCTAACCTTCTAAAAAACCACCAGTTTGTAATCGTGTTTGATGGGAACATGCAACAGGTAGGTAGCTTCCTTGGGTAGAGATGGTTCAGACGTTTCAGCTGGGAGGAGAGCTGAATAATTGCTGTGGCTTGACATCAGGCCAAAGACCTGAGAGAGGCATGGCTGTATCTCAGGCCCTCTCCAGGCTGCAGAGTTGACGGGCCACCCCAGACACTTTCCTTGTCTGGGTGGTTGTCACATGGAGAGGAGCCAGAAAACCATTTGACAAACTGAATTACTCAGTATCATCCCCTGATCAGGCGAGCACAATACAGTTGGCCATCACCCAAGACAGGGAAATTGCTTTTTTAGATAGAATTCTTACGTAATGGCATTCATTTATATATATTTTAAATTACAAAATGTATCATATAAACAAAAAGACTACATAAGAATAAATTAAATAAGAATAAAATTAATGCTGTCAAATCTACTACTCAGCTTAATAGGTCATTGCCAACCCGTTGCAAGGTCTGTGTTGATCTCTTTCTGAGTACATTTTCACTGTCCACCTCACAGGTAACCACTATTCTGATTTTAGTCTATCATTCTCTGCTTTTTTTCTTTATAGTTTACTGCCCCTACATTATATTGTCCAATTTTGCAAGTTTTTGAACCTCACATAAGTAAAGACATCTGGTATGTATTTTTCTGTGACTGACTTTTTTCATGCGTCATTATACTGTTGAGACTCATCCATGCTGAAATGTGGAGCTGTAGCTCATTAATTTTCACCACTGGGTTGTGGGTTCAATTTTGTGCCCATCCTTAATGTATTTATGTATTCAATTGAAGATGGGCCATTTTGCTTTTTTCCTAAGAGTTCATTCTAATCAGGGTTTTTATCCTCACAGTAATTAGCACCAAATGATTTTAATTGTCTTCCTACACGTGTAGGTTTTTCTCCAGATTGTGAGTACAAGGCAGGTCAGCTACCACAGCCCTTTTCTTTTGTTGGATTAATAAATGTTGAGTGGTCTCACCCCGTCACCCACACAATTTTTCAGAACACTGGCTCTGGCTGACCCAGCAGCTGTATTTATACCCATGACCCTGTCCTCCTGTCAGAGCTGATTGGGCCAGAGATGGATACATCACTCAAGCTTGGCCAATCAGGTGCTCTTTCTTGAGAATTTTAAAGTAGCTCTAAAAGGGAGTGGTCTTTGTTTCTTTGCAGATTGGCCCTGTGAAAGTGGAAATTTGGGAGCCTGGGTGTGTTCTGTGTTCCTCACCCTGTGTATGGAGGGGAAGGGGGAGGAAAGGGGGGAGTAAGGTATAAAAGAGGACAGAAGAGGATGGATAGATTCTTTAAAGGGGCAGGGGGGTGTGGGAGGTGGACCAAGAGTCCTAAAGCCTTCCAGGCCTCAGCCCTAGCCTGGCCCTTGGGTCCCCTGAGATCCTCTGCTGAGTCTTTATAATAAATTGACCTTTTTGGCTTAAATTAGTTTCAGTTGTTTCCTATTACTTGTAATCAGAGCCCCTAACTTACCTATTCAATTTGCTTCTTCCCAGCCATTCAACAGAACTGCAGGGCTGTCAGGGACCCCTATTAACCCGAGAATGAGTTAAATTCTACCCCCCTCCCCAAACAAGGGATAGGAAATTCTCCACTTCCAGAGTCAGTTGGCTTCAGGGGGTTAAAAATGGAGGGGATATTTAGCTGCTATGCTAGTTCTATGTCAACAAGGTCCAGAGTAGCTACACTAGCTTTATCTCAAGCTATTTTGACCAGCTCTTAGAAATAACTGAAGAATTTTGCCCTTAAGTTCCTAAAAACAAGTGCATGATAAAGCCACCCCACCTCACCTGCATTATCCTCAGGTGATTGGGAGGGTGACCGCGAAGAAATGAATTTTACAGAGAATCCCCAAACCTTATCTAAACTCTTATCTCGACCAACAGCTTCCTCTTCTGCCTTTTAGCAGAGCTGTTGACAAGAAGCAGATGGACTGTGACAAGCTGGAGTTTTTATCTCCTTTAATTTCCCTCGCACACCTCCAGGGGAGATGCTCAGGAACAGGGATGGGGCGAAGAAAAGACAGGTGGCAGGACAGCAAAGAGGAGAAACAAAAGCCTGGATGGTTTGAGCAAGACAGCTCCCAGGAGCAGTCTTAAAGAAGCTGGGGGCATCAGGAGCATATATCACGGGGGGCAGGGGACAGAAACGGCGAGAAGGGGAGCATGATTACGAGCACCTTTCCAAGTTTGCATCGCAGCCTTCACAAGACCACACTCCCCTTGCAGGTATTTGAGATTCTGAAGATGCAGCCTTCAGTGAAGTGCACGCTTGCCTCCTAAGTATGGTTTTGCTTAAAATCTTCTATTGGTCGGTAGAGCCCCTAAAAAGGTGCTGGAGTTTTTATTCTAGCCTCTGCCAAGTGGGGAAGCCAGAGCGCACCCCCCTCTCACTTTAGAGGTAGCCGTTCGGCTTTGATGTGTAATTTGAGGCAAGCTATCTTCTGCCGCCCCTTTCCTTTTTCACTGAAAACCACCATATAGCCGCAAAGCTGAAGTTCAGAGGGGAGCATGGTTCCCAGCAGCGCCATCTTAGAACAGGGGGAAAGGACTCAGTGGCTCAAACCTCAGCCAACTGAATGGACCATCCTGTGTTGTGATGTTGTGACTGATGTTTCAAACTTGTTCTCAGAAGCTGTGAGGCTTCCTTGGCGGGCCGTGAATTTGGCGGGTGACACC